CTCCCATTATGGAAATTTTTCCATAATTTCCATATGACTATCAATTATTAATAGAATCCTATCTATTCAGAATTATATCAATATGGTACATACATTAATATACTTCCAACTGTCCTTAAGCAACCAATCCTTAGCGAACCTCAGATCGTCCTTGATAAAATTCGACCGACCCAAAATGGAGAGGGAAGATAGGTTCGGTTTTTCAAGGATGGCCGAAAACATTGAGCCTGTTGACGTTTTCGATTAGCTCGAGTTTTTGGGCTAGGTTCGGGCCCAAATAAGGTTTCGGCCCAATGGTGGGTCCAAAAGAAATGGATTTGGCCCAAAGAGATTAAGTGGAAAGGTTTTTCAGCCCAATAGGGCCCATTAGGAGGTCTTGGCCCAATAAAAGCTCCAATAGCAAATTGCAGCCCAATATGGTCTAAGAAAGGTGTTCACGGCCCAATAAGGGTCCTATGGCCCAAAACAGTTTTGAATAAATATTTTCGGCCCAACTATGGCTCAAATATGGGTTCTCGACCCATATAGAGGTCAACTAGGGCTTTTGGCCCAAGAAAGGGCCCGATAAGAAAGTCTTGGTCCATTAAGAGGTTTGGACCAAGAAGACTTGGGTTAAGGCCGAAAGTTGGATGGACTTAGCTTATTACGTTAGGTTTTGGACTTACACGAGGAGGTTTCGACTCGAATCAAGACTTTTAGATGAATCAACTTAGATAACATTGAAATTAATTTATACTACACGTAGTGTCACTTAGTTACACAAAAGAACTATTTGCACATGGATAGAAATTTCTAGCCCTAAAATGCTAGTTGTGACATAGGATGTTATAAGCCATGTAGTGAGCACGAAATAGATCACCCCATGGCTGATAATTGTGGGCAGTAACATCGAGAATCACATGGACATAGGTTTTGATATTCATTATTCCATATGATTTGTTGGTGTTGGGATTGGATGTCTCGCCTTTCATTGTGATCGGGAAGGAAAAGAGGGAGATTAGTAAGTAGAAGAGAAACTGGGAAGAAGAAAAAGATCGACAGTGGAAGGAGTCAATGGGTGGGATCGGCCGTTTAGGGTTAATGGCTCAGATACCATGCTATGCTAAGTATTTTACCATGATTTATCTCTCATTAAACATCCGTATAAATACAAAGAGCACAAATGCCAAATGGGCAATACACAAAAGGCTACACACAATGGGCTAATCTAAAAACATATAAATATACATAATAATCCATATCTGCTAAAACTAATCATAAGCTTACATAAGAAAGGAATCATATATGCACCATCATTAAACTAGATTTAATATGTTCTTATGCATGTTTTGGGATACACGGTTTCCAAAAAATTTAGGTTTTAATGAGACATTTTGGTGTCTACAAGCTTCGGGAGTGTAAACACATTGATCTAATACAATTATTAGAAACATTAACATCTATTTATGTGAAGCATTACTTAATACATGACCTTTGAGTTGACTTAATAACCATGTTCATTTTAAATTGATTGTTCTCCCTCTTTTATATACATTTCTCCTATCTGTTAGACCATCATTGTCTCTCTCTTTCGCCTCTCTCTCTCTCTCTCTCTCTCTCTCTCTCCCTCCGGCTATTATTTCCCTTTTTTAGCATGTCAAATACCACAAGCAACAACAAAAACTACAAACACGAGGTGGATTTGTTTTCAAAAGCTTATAATAAGACACTAATACGGTGTTTTTTTAGATGCTCGTCTAAGCTCTTATGTAGTCTGTATGTGAGCAAACGTTTTGGCTCACCGACTTTTTGGTATTCAAAGACCGCAAACGTCAAAACGTCTGTGCACCGCATGGACCAAACACTTATAGCCTCTTCTATCCTTTGAAGATGCAAAAACACTCTTAACCCTGAAAAAGAGCCCTTCTTTAGTTTTTATCATCCATGTGTCACCTTCATCCTTCTGTTCTTTGCATTTAATGGTCGCCTTTCATCCTTCTCCTTTGCTCCCGTTCTACAAACCCGTCAGACAACCTGGCACACCAGACGAGTTGGATGCTGCTTCATATTTGTTAATTCATTTATGGTTTACACGAATTCAGGTAGATAAAGCAGCTATAAAAGTTATGCTTGTCAATCGAGTAGGTGATTTTGGATTAGCTCCTGGGATTTCGGGTTGTTTTACTCTCTTTCAAACAGTAGACTTTTCCACCATTACCAGACTTGCGTAGGAAAGAAAACAAAGTAAGTCCTCTCCTTAGCACTTAGGCTAGCTCGAGGGGAACTGCTGTCAAAGAATCCATGTTGGGAATAATCTCTTTCCGCTTGAATGTTCTCGCTTCCCTTTCCTTAACCTGACATTAAAAGGCTCGTCACTTAGACTCTTCATCTTAGCTTGTAGCTGTTCGATTGTCCTCTGATTCTGCTTGGATAATGTTCGTCGTTGTCATTTGTTTCTTCCCGGTGTCGTTGCTACCTCGTCGGAGTATCTCTGAACCGGCACCGCTGCTACCTCATCGGACCACCTCAAAATCGGTGCCATTTCTTGGCCGACGCATCAACTGATCTCCTCAAAACAGTTCCTTTTCAGTTTCCATAATCTACTAAAATTCAAGGGCTAGGGTTGAAATCTGGAATTATTTATGAAAATATTGATGAATAAAGTTTTTCCTACTGAAATTTGAAATTTTTGATGAAATTGTTGATAGAAATCACGTTTTTACTTGCTGAAAAATATGAAATCAAATTATTAGTTGTTGAATCATTAAAATTAGTATTTGTGTTTGTGCTCAATTTCGTTTGGTTTTACAGTCACTATATGATGTATGGATTCAAAAGGTGGTGTTTAATGTTTAATGTTTTATGCTTATGTTAAATTATCCTTATAAAAATCAGGTGATGTTTAATGTTTGATTCATTAATTTATTTTGACAGCCATAAAGTGTCGTAACCAAATGTTTTTTTACTAAAATTTGTGTTTGTGATCCTTTTAAAATGACACAGTGGTTTAAGTATGATATGTAGTGGAAGGGACAAGATTGAAACCTAGAGCTGTAAATAAACTGAACATTCAGCGAACTGTTTGTGACTCGTTCGGCACGAAATTCGTTTATGTCCGTTTATTTAATAAATGAACGAACATGAACACAAAGTCTCGTTCATTTAGTCAAACGTACAAATATGAATAATGGTCTCGTTCGTTCGATTATATTTGTGAACGCTCGTTTATGTTGTTCGTTTATATAAGTTCCTTTTATGTTCATATATGCTTAGTTGTGTTTGGTTACATTACAATATTATATGTTCAATTATGTTCATATAGGTTCAATTATGTTTGTTTAGCATTGTTTATTTATGTTCGTTTGTTTATGAACGTTTAGCATGTCCAGGAACATAAACGAACGAACATTAACAATGTAATTTGTTAAATGAACAAACATGAACGAGAAAACTCGCTCGTTTATCCATTCGTATTCGTTTATTTGTTCGACTAACTTAAACGAACGAATATGAACAATCTCTCATTCGTGTTCGTTTGGTTCGTTTACATCCATATTAAAAGCCCTGACTAGGTTCTATCTTTTCTATTCTCATGTCTTCAAATATTAATTTGAAAATTGATATAAGTCAATCTTTTTAAAATGTGATTTATACCTTTGCAGTTTAAACAAGCTCAAGAAACTTGATTTACATGGACTTGTGGTTATTGAATTAAATTTCAGTGTTAGTAAAACTAAAACTATTGAAAAAGTCTATTTAAATTATAAAAAAAAAATCACTTTTTTAAAACTTCGGTTTTTTATATAGTTTGTAGGCTTTAAAAATAATCTTTTTCTTGCATACTACAAAAGTTTACTCTTCTTCAACAGATTTGGTGCGTAGACTATAAATATTTTATCTCTTTAAAAACAAACAGCACCAAAAGTTCGACAATACGTTTGATAATGGATAAAAGAACTTTGTTTGAATCTAGCCAATATGAAAAAAGAGAAACTTGAGGCAATGAAGAATGAAACTCCTAATGAGGTGGCAATCACATTCTACTCTCAACAAAACCACATTGGATTCAGATTCAAACAAAGTTCTACTCTCAGGAGCTTTGGTGCTTTTTGTTTGTGAAGAGGTAAAACATTTGTAGTCTAGCCAATAGAAAAAAGGAGAAAAACTTGAGGCAATAAAGAATGAAACTCCTAGTGAGGTCAAATGTTTGGCAATCACATTCTATTATGAACAAAACCAAAACAACACTGATAATATTCTTATCGAGTCTCTATAAGAAGTTTTGAAATGCTTTAAGAGAATAAAAATCTTGAGTCTTTTATTTCTTTTTATAAAGTAGTCCAATGTTTTAGGTTGTGTTTGGCGCGTCACAGCCGATTCATAAGCTAACTTATTTTTCAAGTTTTTTTAAGGTGTTATATTTGGCAAGACAAAAGTAGCTTATAAAATAAGCTTATAAGACCATCCGTTATACTCTCCACGACAACGGTCGTGGAGAGCTTCCAGATCAGCCAACGGAGCAACCATGAACCACCCCACTACAACCGGAGTACACTCTACTAAGAACGAAGAGAAAGAAGGAAGAGGGAAACGGAAGAAGGTTGAGATAGAAGAAATCAATCAAGAAACCCTGATTGGGTTTTGCATCTTGTCCTCGGCACCACAATTCATCATGAAAACGATGAACCACAACCGGCCGAGATGGTGTGCACGACCGTTGTCTGTGGCCAAATAGACCACGATCGGGTTCGTGGTGTGTATACCGAACGGTCTAAGCCAATTTTTTTTTAAAAAAAAAATACTTAGACTAACTTTTTAGAAACTTTTTAAATTTTTTCCAAATATACATCTTAATTAATTATAGAAACACATTCCTTTAAATGTTCTTTTATGTCTTTTGATATGTTTCAACCAGTTTTTCGACTATCAGATATATTTTTATTTAATTGCTAGTTTTTCAGCTATTATATCAAACATAACCTTAATATGTATGTAAGGTTTTTGTTTGAATATAACCAAAGAAAATAAGTTTGTTTATATATTGTTTGTGACTTATTTTGAAGATAAATACTTTCAAGCCCATGGTCATAGGGTCTATCCCCTTGTGAAACCGTACAACATCAAAAGTACGCTCACTATACCGACTTTATTCAACAAAAGGTTATATTGAACAAACCCGTCTATAAAACACAACATCATCTAAAGACAAGACGACGAGACAGCTTTTGAAACACAAAATGTAAGCCAATCCTTTGTATCAAGATGTTCTCCTTATCATATGTACCACTTAATAAATGTATGCTAATTTTTTTTGGCTTTCTCTGCTTCAAGCTTCCTCAATGTGGATGAACTTAGCTTTTCTCCACTTGATTCTTCAGATACCAGATTCACCACTTCCACCTTGCACAAAACAATACACATAACTGTCAACTGTCTACCAGGTTTTTTTTTTTTTTTTTTAAGTACAATTTGAAGAATAAGTACCTTTAGTTGTGAAAGGCCTCTCTCAGCTCTCTTTTTGTTGACTGACAATCCACCAGGTAATGTCTCCTTACTGTCAAACAAATGACAGGACTATTAGGGTTATTTTCGATGATAAAGATGAGGAGGGCATTTACGTCTTTTCAGAGCGAGTCACTCTCTGGCAAACAAAAAATTGAAAATTTTGTTGAATTGACATTTGGGTCCGAGTCTCGGTCTAATGTATGTCAAACACAGTACAACTTGTCCTGTTTTGTTGGTTGAGGAACAAACCTGACAACAATCGCCTCCAGATTCTTTTCAACAATGGAAGGACCGTAAGGATCGGTAATAGGTTCCACTTGTACCGCCAGCTCAGGCTTCACAGACTGAAAAAAAAAAAAAAAAATTGAAATTAGCAGAGAATCTTTAACAAAATTTTAATATACAAAAATAGAGATGACAAGACATGACATGATAGAATAGTTTTGTACTGTGTTTGGCATTTATTGGACTGGAACTCAACGGGACAAAAACTGTAACTTAGTGTTCCATCCAAAAAGGTGGAACAAAGTAGGAGAAGGATTTACTCTCGAGTCTCAACCTCTTGTTTGTACAAAAGACGTAAATGCCCTTCTCTGATTTATAAAAGAAAATAGCCTTAGATAGCTTGTCTAATCTAAATAAAAGATTTGGTTACCTTAATGTAATCTTCCACAGTTTTCATTCTCTCTTCAATAGGCATGATGAGCTCCAAAAACTATAAAAGTTGATACATCAAGATCATTCCAAAATTGTGATTTTATTTATTTGGGATTAAATAATTAGTTATGGAAAAATAAAAACTAATAGATTAAATAATTAATTATGGAAAAATAAAAACTAATTATCTGATTATTAAAACCTTAATCAACATAAACTAGCAAACCTAAATTGGGAACAATAATTGAGATGATCAACACCTTCTCCATCTAATCATTATTCACATCCTCATTTACTCCCCAGATAAATCAAATTTAATAGAAAATATAACCAAATGATAAATGATAAATCTTTTTTGTAGACTTACAGGTGAAAAATAAGAGACCCAACCATCCCCACATGGCTACATGTATATTGTTTTCTTATGAATCAAAATCACATTAATTCAAATTTTCTCAATTATTGGTTTCTGCAACAGGGGACATGCAGTGACACAGGTAACAATGGGCCAAATTTAGAAAAGTGTGAAAATAATGGGCTGAAAGTAGTATTTCACAATCATTTAATTGGGAGTAAATGTGAGGTAGTTGAAGGTGTATAGGCTTGTTTCAATTCAAAATGTGAATCTACCTACACTGTCCTTATCAATTTTGTGTGAATGAACTAAGCTAGGTTTGTAGAATCCCAATGTCAATTTTGACTTTTCAACCAGGTATATTTATTATGTTGCTATGAAACTATTGGTATACAATGGTTTCAACAAATTTCAGAGTAAGAAAGATGAAAGGAGAAAGGTGTAAACCTGTTTCTTGGATAGCATAGGTCCATCACAAACACCAACTATGATTCGATCTCTAGCTAACTCTGCAGCTGCCTGTAATCAACATTCAAAGCCTCTTCAATCCTTATCTCAAAGATATAAAGTTGTTAACTCAAGGTCATATGAGATAGGTGGAAGAAGAAGAAGAAGAACCTTAAGGAAAAGCCGATGACCATCATGTAAGCGGTCAAAGGTGCCACCTAGAACCACCGATCCATAGGAATTTGGTGGAGAAATGGTTGGAGAAGTAGGTGGAAGCTTTGGATTTGGGTTCTCCACAATTGTCATTTTATCCTTGATATCTGATTTGTACTCTTGCGCCTGTCATCAAAGAAACGGAAAAAATCAGAATTTATGAACACAAACCACAAAAAAAAAAAACCCTAAATACAAAAGCCCTCGGAACAATTAACCTGAGAAAAAACTAAAACATCGACTTTCTACAGTTTCAAAATCGGAGTTATAGAGGAAATCGAACGGATTTGTAACTGTAAATGCTCATAAATAGACAAAGTTAATGGAGGCTGATACGGCTTAATAGACATAATAAATGAAGCAGTTCTTCTTTTACAATATGTACGCAATTTGAGAACAATGTGTATAGCTAGTATGCCTCATCGCAACATTAAGCATAAATGATAAATCCATCTCAATTAAGTACAAAAAAAAAAAAAAAAAAAAAGCAGGACCAGTCTAAGAGACAAATCAACACTAGCTAGAAGAAGCTCCAAAAAAGTTCATAAAATATGTCGCTAATTCCACCAACATTTCACCGGAACAATTTTCTCCAAAAAAAAAAATCATCAAACTCGTTACAGAGAGAAACGAACCTGAAACTCCTAGTGGTTAGATGAGGAAACAAACTGTCTGTAAACTCAATTACCTTGACGAATCGATAGATTCGATGCTGCAACCTTCAAAGCGATTCAAAAACCAGATTGAAATGAATTCTTAGTAGAGAAAAGGGAAAGAATCAACTCGACGGAAGTTCTCGAGAAGCTTTCGGCATAATCACGCGATCACGATGGAAAGTAGGGTTTGGAAGGATCGAAAAACAGGGTAAGTTGTGAGTCACGCCCACCACCTAGAAAGACAAAATAATACTATTACTATATTTCAATATAAAACAGTGATCCAAATATGACCAGCACTCAGATTTCAGAATTTTTTTGGTTATTAGAAATAGAAATTCTGGTGGGGCTACTGCTAGTATTTATATTTTTTGTCATATATATTGTTGTGTTGATACAAAAACCATATTTGTTATGATTGATGGATATTATAGGTATTACTAAAATATATGTTTTATATAGCTATTATATAGTCGTACAATACAACAATTTAAAGAATGAAGAAGGATTTCATGTATTTGCCACTGTTACAACCTGATTGCAAAAATATCCAATCCAAAGAATGAAAATCATGGTCATTGAATATTTTTTATAATTTCATGACCAGCCTTATGTGGTTCTTAGACAATAATTCACACTTCAACGACATGCATATTTATATTTGTTACCTTCTTGTGCAATATCAAGAATTAATAACGAGTTATTTACTAAAACGACTACAAAATGTCCACTTTAAAGATATTTTTGAGTTGTTTGTTTGTATCGTCTACAACTAAATTAAAAAATATACAAAATTAACTATCTTAGTACTAAATTAGTAAACATTCAGAGGGGATGCAAAAGATGTAATAAAAATGGTTTAACAATTTACTTGGATATATTCCACAATATACATTGAATTATTGTTTTTCTCTACATCATTGATTTCTTACAGAAATCGTTCAAGAATTTATTTGGATTCACTCTATATTATTAAAAAAACATATGTATTATATTATATAAGTTTCCTTATCCTTGTTTTCATAATTGATTGTCGGTCACGAGTCATTAACAAGAGCATCCACGAGCTAACTTATGATACAAATTGGACATAAATGAACATCATGCATAATAAATACAACTTGCGAGACCATGACCATATCAAAAATGCCAAATCCGGAACTTGGATATTCATGGAGGATTTTAACATCATTAGGTGCCCGGAAGAGAGATTTAATTCTCAATTTTGTGCCCAATCAACTTTTGCTTTTAATCGACTTATTCATGAAGCACGACTCGTTGATCTTAGGATGGGGAACACAAATTTAATTACTTTTTCACTAAAGAGCTTAAATTGAGCTGAAACTGAGTAAACTTGATCGAATTCTTGTATGTTCAAATTTCCTTAATGTCTTTCCTTCCTCGGTGGTTACAGCCCTTCCAAGAGAGTTATTGGATCACTGTCCCATTCGACTCGTCTCTGAATCGGTGGATTTTGGACCATCTTCGGTCAAGCTCTTTAACTCGTGGTTAAATTGAGATGGATTTAAGGATATATGTAATGTTTGGTTCCTGGTATATATCTAATTTATAATTATTCACCTTTATATAGAAACTCAACGGGTTGGAGGCCCCAAACTCGTCGAGTAGAGATGAATTGGACTGTGGATTTGAAAACCTACTCGACGAGTTGGGAGGTCTCAACTCGACGAGTAGGCTGGTAGAAATGAAACCCTTATTCTCGGGTTTTGCACCTTATTTAAACACCTTAACCCCAAGGTGTTGGCCTCATCTCCAACCTTCACTGTCCAAAATCCTAATCTTGAAACCTTAGGCCATTTTTGGTGATTGTGAGCTAATCTTGTGCTTTCTTGGTGAGTTTGAAGAAGGAGAAGCTTGAAGGAGGAGCAAGAATGTAACAACGTGAATTTTCAAAACAATTTTTCATTTTTCAAACAACATAAACCATCATTCAAAATTCTCAAATCTCATGTTTAGCAAATGTCATCATAATAAAAATACATCCCAAGATCATAAAATAAATCTTCCGACAGTGTGTATAGATCATGCCGGCGCCTTCCCACGGTCCTCGCTAGTACCTGAAACACATAACACAACAACTGTAAGCATAAATGCTTAGTGAGTTCCCCAATATACCACTTACACACATACGCCCTTCCAGGCCATGACCTTCCGGTCCATATGTCTCAGGGGACTTTCGTCCTAACCCGGTAAACCTTCCGGTCCTACCCGTGTCGATCTTCCGGTCCATGACTCCCTGACCTTCCGGTCCACATCATAATGCCTTCCGGCCCATAACGTAATGTCTTCCGGCCCATATCAAACATAGCATACGTAGCACATACAAAACAGGTAACTAATCACATACAATGCATATATCATATAGCATAGCAGACCTTCCGGTCACACATAGGTACCCTTTCAGGTACAGTATAGTGAGAAGACTCACCTCGTAGGATGTCTAGAATCTCACGTGCTCGATATCTCTGAATCTCGAAACGACGACCCAACCCCGCCTATTCAGAACGAATAATCATTCTAATTAATATAGGCTTCCAAGACTAAGCTACACCCTTTTTCACTATCCCAAAGAGGGTAAAAGACCATTTCACCCCTCATTGACTCAAAAGTCCACATGTTGACCAAAACCCTAAAAGTCAACAGCAAGCGGTACGCGGGGCGTACCAGCTCTTGTACGCGGGGTGTACTCTTGCATTCCAGAAACGGGGAACGCATCCCACTACGTGGCGCGTACTGGGATTACGCCCAGCATACATCCCAGTTTCTCACTTCTTTCTTCTAATGTCTTAAACGATTAAGACATAACCCCATATCCCAGATATGGCCAAAATAACACCTCTTAGTCCATAAAGTCAAAACCTTTAAGCCTTGGCATGGCTAAAAGGTTCCCCACACCTTCTAACACCTTTCTTTTCCCCTACAAGAGTCTAGATCTCATGCATGGCTCAACATCCACGTCCAAGATTGCATTTTTATGAACATACAACTCATATAGTCCTGGAATATGATAGATCTAGGCTAGTGGAGACTACTTGCTCATAAAGTCTCCATCTTGGGACCAAAAACCCTAGAAATTGGTCCAAGAAGCACACCATATAAACTACAAGGCAAGATATGAACTTTTTACCTTAGGAAGAAGCTCCAAGCTTTGTAGTCCTCAGATCTACACTTGTCCACCAACTTCTAGCCTCCACAATGGACTCCTCTTCTCTTTTACTACCTTGAAATGACACTTTGAAACTTAGAACACTCACACCCAAGCTAAAAACGAAGGAAAGGCTCTCTTAGGGTTTCTTTCTGAAAGATGGTGGCTGAGGGACAAGGCCATCTCATTCCTTTTATAGCCCTCAAGTCATATTAGGGTTTTGAGTCTGGGCCGGTTACGCCCCGACGTAACCTTAGGTACACCCAGCGTACCCGGATGGCAACGCGTACAAAATAATCGCGCGAGTACGTGCAGCGTACTCTTTGTACGCCCAACGTACTCACTCAACATAAAGGACCAAAAATGACATCATGGAAAAGATGAAGGGTTAAATGGTTGTACCTGAATTTCGGGCTGTTACAAAGAACGTGTGTGAGGAGAGTAGATCCGGAAATTGAGCTTCATGTCTGGTTCATCTGAGGTATAAAGCTTTAAACATGTGTATACATGCTTAGATCAAGTTTTAGGATGTTTTGCTTCATGGTTTGGTCCAAGAGATTGATGGTTGGGATTTGGACATCCCACTCAGGCTAACTGTAACGTCCGGTTCCTGGTATATATTTAATTCTCAATTTATTCATTTTTGTATAGAAACTCAACGAGTTGGAGGCCCCAAACTCATCGAGTAGAGATGGATTTGGACGCGGGTTCAGAAGCCTACTTGACGAGTCGAAAAGCCTCAACTCGACGAGTAAGACTGGCAGAATGAAACCCTAATTTTCAGGGTTTTGCATCCTATTTAAACACCTTAACCCCCATATGTTGGCCACATTTATAGCCTCCATTGTCCCAAACCCTAATTCACTTTTCAGAGTTTTGAGACATTTTTGTAGATTCTTTGTGATTTTGAATAAGATGATACTTGAAGAAGGAGCAAGGACGTGTGAGAGAAGAGTAGATCCAGAAGTTGAACTTCATTTCTAGTTCATCTGAGGTATAAAGCTCCTACCTTGCCTTTAGTATTCTTAGATCTAGTTTTAGGATGTTCTCTCCATATTTTGGTCCAAGAATGTTGGTCTTTGGGACGTTGACGTCCCATATGGGCAAACCATTCAGATCTAGGGTCTTTAGGGGACTTCATGGCATAAAGGTGCCAACTTTATGGCCATGAAAGTCCCATGCAACTTGTGGACCATCTTTTCGGCCTTTTGAGCCAAGTAGTCATGCAAGTAAAGATAGGAACTTTACATGACTAAACTGTCCCTAGAGTCCATATCTATGATCCTATGGCTTATCTTGAAGTTTTGATGGGTTTTGAAGTTGGAACGAAGCCATTTTAAGCTAGGTTTAGGGCTCATTTCTTCTAGGATGGGTCTTAATGGGTAAAGTCGGAAACTTTACCCTCCTAGATGTGTTTTCAACTCAAATCTGGAATATGGGACTTAGAATCGAAGAATAATAGCTTAACACATTAAGAAAGATTAATAGACTAAAGAACTCGACGAGTTCAAGGACGGACTCGACGAGTTGAGTGGGAAAGTCCCAATTCTGTTGATACGAGGAACTCGATGAGTTGGATCGCAATTTCAGGGTTTTATGATTTATGGGACTCGACGAGTTGAGTCAACTCAGAATGTTGACTTTGACCAGAATGTTGACTTTGATTTTAACTTTGACCAAAGTTGACCCTTAAGGGGTTATAAGTATGAAAGGGGTAATTAAAGGAAATCTTTTATGTGTAGGAGTTTGAGTGGGGTGATTTCAGAGCCGGGGATAGTCCAACTACTTTACAACATTTGAGGTGAGTTACCTTCCAGTAGAAGTGGGTCGAAGGCATCAATGCCCGCCCAATAGTAGTTGATTATAGTTAAGATGATTGTCTTTGTGATAATTGTATGGTATGCCACTATCTGTTATGCTTATTGTGCTAGTATGCTATGATATTATGTGATAGTGGTAGGAGGGGTAAGATAGACCCCGTTACCGGTCGAAAGGACCGAAGGAGTAGGCCATCACCTAGATATGCTATGCAGTATGTGACTTATGTGTTTATGTACTAGGATGATTCATGGTAGTAGTAGGGGTGAAATAGTCCCTGTTACCGGTTGAAATAGACCGAAGGGGTAGGCCAACACCTAGATATGCTAGGCAATTACCGGTTGAAAGAGACCGAAGGGGTAGGCCAACACCTTGATATGCTAGGCAGTTACCAGTTGAAAGAGACTGAAGGGGTAGGCCAGGACCCAGATATGCTAGGCAGTATGTTATTATATGGTATGTGGTATGATGGGGGAACTCACTAAACTCTGTGCTTACAGTTTTCAATTTTGGTTTCAGGTACTTCCTCTTTGAAGGGAAATGAGCCAGCATGATCGTAACACATCACACTACATTTTCCACATAGGAGATCTTTGGGATTTATACTTTGATGTTGTTTTATCATGACATTTTATTACTATTGATACATGAGTTTTGATATGAGTTGATACTCTGAATGTTTTCAGACAAATGGTTTTATAATTATTTAATTTAAAATGAAATTTTTGGTCTTAAATTTTAAGATGTTACAAGTTGGTATTAGAGCCTTGGTTTGAGGGATTCAGACACACCTTCGGGGGTGTTTGGACTCAAATCGAGGGTTTGAGAAATTTTTACAATGAAAACAAATTTCTAAAAAATTAAAATTAAGGGTTTTGAGAAAGAACAAGGAGTGTGATGTGTGCAATCGGCTGAGCTCAAGTAAGTTTTCCCCGAGATACCCATACATGTTTGCTATGATATATAATATGATTATCAGAACTGCATGCTAGATTCTAGGAAGATGTCTTATGTGCCTGATGTATATGTTTATTGAACTGCATGATAGTACTGACTAATCAGTAATATGATAGCCTGATTAGGATATGCTTGGTTTTGGTTACTCAATGCCCGAATGTTACTTGCTTTGTGCTTTTAGGAGTCCTAGTTATCTTTAATTAACTAGTAAACGAATACGTTAAGTTACATATTATGAGGACTAAATAATTTCAGAAGGTTAGGTCTAACCCTATTTCGCAGCTCTTGTTTGAGTCCAACCGTTGTATGGTAGGACCTCTCATTCGAAGAATTATCGGGTCTTAGTAATATGTAATGGTATTCGCGAGCTATTTAGGGAGAGATAACAAGGACTTCTTATGCAGCTAATGGCAGAGAATGGGTCGGAGATTACCTTAGGGCAAGCCTAGGATGAGATTAGCGCTGAGAGCAGTAGTAGTGAAAGGGACTTGGTGGAGTCATGGCAATTCTTAAGGAAAGTACGGATAGATGTAGAGGGTAGTATGGGCCCGTACTACTGAAAGTAGAGGATCCGTACTAGAATCAAGGAGAACTGAGATTAAACCAGGGAACTTGTAGTGAGTGTGAAGTCTCTCGATATTATGCATGACTCTGATGATTGTGTGGTTTGTTTTAGAATGGTGATGACACATCACAAAGTAGGAGGTCTAGGGTCTAGTTCAGGTTCGAGTACAGGTTCCAGGCCAGTTGATGACGGATTGCGCGAGTTCATTGCATCCGAGATTACGAGAGGCATCCTTGAGGCGACCCCAACCCCAGTGATTTTCGGGTTGATCAAGGAGGGTATCATCGAGCTGATGGAGAATCGCCTTAGGGAATTCAGGAGTGACATGGCACTTAACCAGTCAGGGACTAGCACGCTCTCCTTCATGGATTTCAGGGGATGCGGGGCGCCAGACTTTAGTACCTTCATGCGCCTGATGAATCAGGTTCTTAAACCTTTTTTGGGAAAGTTCATTGTTGTTTATTTCAATGATATCCTCATATATAGTCAAACACCAAGTGATCATCAAGCACAACTGCAATAATTATTTGGTGTGTTAGACCGGGATAAATTGCACGGGAATTTAGAGAAGTGTGAATTTTTTGCTAATCAAGTCACTTCTCTTGGTTATTTAATATCTGCCCAAGGAATACAGGTTGATGAACGGAAGGTACAAGCGATTCGAGACTGGCCAATACCACAGTCCATTCAACAAGTGCGCAGTTTCCACGGCCTTGCATCTTTTTATCGGCGTTTTGTTAAGAATTTCAGTACTATTACGACTCTCATGACTGAAATTACCAAGCAAAAAAAATTGCATGGAACTCCCCGGCATAGTTTGCTTTTGATGAGCTCAAGAGATTATTATCATCAACCCCAATATTAGCCCTTCCTTGTTTTGATGAAGTGTTTGAGGTCGAATGTGATGCATCGGAAGTGGGAATCGGGGCTGTTCTGTCACAGCTTGGACGCCCGGTTGCATATTTCAGCAAAAAGTTAAATGATGCAAAGAAATGGTATTCAACTTACGATAAAGAGTTTTATGCAATTATTAGAGCTTTGGAACATTGGCAACATTATTTGATTTCGAATGAATTTATTCTACACTCGGATCACGAGGAACTTAAGTATATTCAAGGCCAACACAGACTTCAACCTCGACACGCCAAATGGGTTGAATTTATGCAAGTTTTTAACTTTGTTATCAAACATAAATCTGGTAAACTCAACAAAGGAGTTGATGCTTTGTAGCGAAAGTCCTCGTTGTTGAATTCCTTACAACCTAAGATTATTGGTTTTGAGTTTTTAAAGAGTGAATATTCCGTTGATCCAGACTTTAGGAGTGTGTTTTTAAACTGCCAAAAACATGTTGTTGGGAATTATCATATGTATCAGGGATTTCTTTTCAAGAGACAACAATTTTGTATTCCCCGACATAGTATTCGTGTGTCTTTAATTAAAGAAGTTCATGAAGGTGGCTTAGCAGGTCATCATGGAATAGATAAGACCACATTACTGTTACATGCCAATTTCTTTTGGCCAAAACTTATGCGAGAAGTAACACACTACATTCTTCGTTGTCTACCTTGTCACCAAGCCAATAGTCATTCTTTTCCTCATGGTTTATACATGCCATTACCGGTACCCGTGGCTCCTTGGGAAGATGTCAGCATCAATTTTATCACCGGCTTGCCCCGTACACAACGACAAAAAGATTCTATCATGGTCGTCGTGGACCGTTTTTTCCAAAATGGATCATTTTTTGGCTTGTCATACTACTTATGATGTAGTTCAGGTTGCTTCTCTTTATTTCAGGGAGATTGTGCGACTTCATGGAGTACCAAAGACTATGATTAGTGATCGAGACGTCAAGTTCCTTATCCATTTCTGGATGGCATTGTGGCGTAAGTTGGGCACTACTCTTAAGTTTCGCACTACATGTCACCCCCAAATTGACGGTCAAACCGAGATCTGGGTTCTCTACTCCGAGCTCTTATAACCTGCAAGCTGAAACAATGGGAAAAGCTGCTTCTGCAGGCTGAGTTTGCTTACAACCGTGCTCCAAGTAAAACTACTGGTTTAAGCCCTTTCACGGTGGTGTATGGTATGAACCCTCACACCCCATTGGATCTTGCTATTATTGATACCACCACCAAATTTAGCAAAGAATCTAGTAAGTTAGTTGTTGATATCAAGCGCTTATATCAACAAGTCCATGCCAAAATTATCAAGAAAAATGAGTTGCTCAACCTAGTGATATTGTTTGGGTTCATCTTTGTAAAGAACGTTTTCCCTCCAAACGTCGTTCCAAACTGAGCCCACGATGGGATGGTCCTTTTCGTATTCTTGCCAAGGTTAATGACAACGCCTACAAGATTGACCTACCGGGTGAATATGGTGTAGCTACGACTTTTAATGTTGCTGACCTGCAACCCTATTTTGACCCTGAAGAACCCATTCCAAGTTTGAGGACAAACTTTTCTGATGAAGAGGGGGATGTTAGCCACACACTCGAGAAACCAACTGAGGCGACGGAGCATTCCGACCCGCCCATGTTGGGCTGAATTGGGTTAGTTTAGCCCAGGCAAATTCCAGCACCTAAAGTCTTGTCTTTTTCTTAAACCCACATTTACATAGTCTGTGTTTGTGTTTTGTTTTTCCAGCTAATTTTATTCGATTTTATTTTCGTTTATTTGACTTTGTCGATAGTAGTTATCTTATTTCCCTAAATGTAAGTTACGTGGGTAGTTTTTGTTTTAGATGGGTATCCTATCTTTTGTACAGAGATGGATGAACGGAATAGACAGACTTGGATTTTCTTAACTCTTTTAGTTCTCTGATTTTGTTTCTAGAGAATTTGTCCATTGCTATCCAAATCCCTGGCAGGTTTAGGAGGTGATCTTTGGAGGCTAATTTGGATTTGCGTGGTGTATCTGTATCGGGAATTCAAGTTCGAGTTTTGCCCAACGAAACTCTCGAGTGGTGAAACTGTATCTCGAAGGGTACGTTGCATCGATTGGAATACTAAATATCAGGTTTTACAGTCCATCTAATAATTGTTGTCTATCACAAAGCTTTTCAAATTTATGAACCACTGAGCACAACAAATTCCTTATAAAAACCATTTTTTGGTATTTTAGTAAACTATGGAGAACATTAATATATTATTGTAATTTGTCCATTTTATTTGCTATAGTCGGTGGTAAGGTTTCGTGGCAAAGCAAAATTGCTATACATGAGTTCGATGTGGATGTTTTAATACACTATTACTAAAGTAACACGTACCCTTTTTCTGCTGATTTCAACTCCATGGAATAAAATAAAATCTTACAATGCTATTTTTTCTCAAAAAAAATAAAAGCTAAACTTTAAATTTCATCATAATTCTATTCAAGATTTTCTCAATCTTTAATTTATTTGTTTAATCTTTAATTAGTGTTAGTTCTTTATATTCTTTTGTAAAATTATGCACCAACTAAAACTTAAGTTATTTTAGTTGCATTGATATGAGTCTCAATCTCAATACAAATCCAATTCACACGAAACACAGTACAAGACAGTCTGTTTTGTGGGACCCATCCGCTTATATTCCATGGTTAGTTGTATTCTGTTACACTATAAGAGAACAACGTATAAATACATCTCAAGTAAAAGTAAGAAACCAAGAAACCACTACCTTTCAATCTCACTTCACTACATTACACAATTGCTTACCTTCAAGGGCAAAACAGTCTTTTAAGAAAATTTGAACCAAAGACCGATACGTATCCGTGAAAGTTCTATAATGATCCACATGTGGGGTCGATTTGAAGTTAAAAGTCGTGACCTTTTTTCCTAATTTCTTTTGGTGTTCAACAAATGATTCTATTTTATGAAATGGAATCACCTTATCAGCTGTGCTGTATAGATACAGCTGTGGATGAGAAGGCTGGTTTTCTGATAGAGTTGATGTTACTTCTGTCAATCTCCTGTTACATACAGAAATAAAAAGGCAGAAAATAGCAACCTACTTTAGTCTTTAAAAAAAAAAAGAAAAAAAAAAAGAAAAAGAAAAGGTAACACTTACTTCTTTATATCTGGTAATTGAAGGAGATAAGCAAAGAACTTCTCAAATAATGTCAGAAGGAAGACCTCAATGAATTCAAGTTCTTTATCATCTGAATTGACATTTTTTGTTTCCATTGATTCAGAGGAAGAATTAACTGCAGAGCTTTGTTTTTTAAGCAAAGCTGTAGTGAATCCAGCTGCCCATACCTTAGGATCAAGCTCTGGGTCTCCTCCAGAATCAACGACACACCCTTTGATCTTCTCCAGTAGCTCTTGTCTACCTTGCAATTTGTTCAGAATAGAACCATAGCTGTAAAGAATTGATTATATAATCATGTCAAGCTTGATCATAGTGATTCGCTGATGCCCGTTTAATGGAAATGGAAGAAATTTGTATCAGAATCGAATGAATTAAATTAACCTACGCAAGCCAACCAGTGTTACTGAAGGTATGAAAGATCAAGAACCGGTCCTTTCCATCGTTCTCCTTCTCCTCCAACCATGACACAAGCTCGTCAGTCAATACTGCAACTCTTGACTCCAATTTCCTCCCCCAATGAAAACCAAGCACATCGTTAACTGGAGCAGGAAGCGTAACAGCATCAATACCAAACAGGTTATACATCTCAGCGTATCTCCTCAAGTGCTTCTGCTTCGATCCTAGCCAGCCTAACACGACCACCGTCACAGCCGCCTGCTTATCCTCGGGAAGAAACCCTAATTCTCCGCCATTTTCCCGATCGGCGAACTTCCATTCAAAAGACTTGTCGTTGTGGCCCGATAAAATGCGAGCAAAACGATCGGCGGAGATTGGAGGATTGACATTTGATTGGAACGAAGATGGGGTGAAATGAGAGGGTTTCCAATTGGGGAAATGATTGCGAGCGTGAGAATTAGGGTTTGAGAGTGAGAGAGTAGCGAGTGTGGTGAAGGGTGAGAAGACGGGTGGTGACGGGTGCGGGGAGAGTTTGAATGGATGGCGGTTAGAATGAAGGATTGTATTTATGGAGTTTCGATTGGTGAATTTTATCAATGATCTGCTGATTGAAGCTTCCATGGTGGACGCTGTGGGGTTGAGAGCAATGATGATATGGGATTGAAGATGATTGAGGAACAGATGAACAGCTGATGAAGAAAGAAACGAGTATTTGAGGAATCAAGAACCGAAGATTAAGAAATTGGTTGTACTCATCACGATTTTTGAAGGATTCAACGGGAAGTTCTCCGATGAGCTCACTCCTTGATTGCCTTACAGAATCTTGATGAAGACCCCAAGTACGTTTCTCTAGTTTTTGTCACTGTTTGCCGCAATTAGAAGGAAAATAATGTAATTGTTAGAATCAAGGATTCCGTCAGGACCGAGGTAAGAGTTCATTTCATACGATAAAACAATTTTATGATTTAATTTGTACAATAAATTAATTATTTTACTTGTGAAAAAAATTAATTAATCAAAATTAATTAAATTTTAATCAAAATTAATTATTTGTACAAAATTAATTAAATTTTAATAGTAAAAAAACTTAAAATTATTAATCACTTATTTTAAATAAATTATTAATTAAGAGATTTTTTTAGTTATATAAAATTATAATCATTGATTTAAATAAATATATAAAATTATATCACTTCATAATTTATATTATTTTAATTTTAATTTTTATCCTAATGTTCTTAATTTAATGTAATTAGAGTGATAAATTTAAAATTTGAAATTTGAAATTGATAATCAATAGGTTGACAAGTGGTATGCATTAATTAGGAGATATAATAAGGTGCCACATGGCAAAAGGAAATTAAAATATGCATTAATTATAAAGTTTAATACGGTGACACATATTAAAAGGAGAATAAAACTATTCTTTTATTAGAATAGAGATATTTTATATATTGGGATATAACTATTGTAAATTTATAAGCGGTTGTTTTAATTAGATATTTTATCTATAAATATATAATTATTCAAAATTTAGATTATACTATGATATGTTTCGATAAGATCTCTAACTAAAATATGAATTATTATATACTCCTAAGTTTACCGAAGGAGAAATTAAATATTCTTTTATTTTTGTTCTTACAAATCTTCATATCCAATTAAATGATATTGTGTGTCAAATTAGTAGATTAAAATATCATTAAATGAACATTAAATGTTACACATGTCACCATTTAACTGGATCGGAAGATTTTTAGGAACAAAATGTAGGAAGATATTCAATTTTTCTTATCGAATATCAACTTTAAAAAACATTCTCTAACTTTGATCTTGTGTAATTAAAATATTCTGTACTTATAATATTAACCAGATGTTTTTATTAATTTACACAACAAATCAAATATTTTTCATTCAAAATCAGCTAGTGACAACCTATTTAAACCAAAAATTCGCGGGGGAAATAAAGTAACTTGGCCAGGGGTCAGCCACAGCCTCATAGCTTCATTCCCACCACTCAAATCAAACCCTCTGCAACTCCAAATCCCTAAATCAAAAAAAAAGAAATTCTCTTTACCTTAACATCTTTTGTCATTTTGATGAAGTCGCAAAAGGTTTAATCTCTACAACTTAGCCTTTTCCTTTTCCTTCTCGATTTCACCAGATTTAATGTCGTCTTCATGTGCTCCGGTGCCGTATCCAGTAAGAACCGAGTGCCCTACCGCTAACAAATTCAGTTCCATCGTCAAAGTTCATCCTTATAGTGAGTTTTCGATCTAATTTCAACTCATTCTCTACTAGTAATTTACTTTACATTGACGCTAATTGGTATAATTGATCGACTATTCTCTGTTTGTGGTAGGAAATAAATGTGGTTTGAGTAGGAGAGATTTTGCTACCAAAGGAATTGTTGCAGCGGGAGCTTCGGTGATCCCGTCTACTTTGCCATCTCAATCTGCTCAAGGTTGATTTCTTATTTCTCTTGTTTTAGGGTTTTAATTTTATATTCGAATGGCCAATGGAAATCGTTAGATTGAAATTGTTAGGGTTTTAAGTGATTGATGCATGTCTGATCACAAATTTGGCTCCATTATTGTTCTTAGTTTCTTCATTTTGATGTAGCTTCGTATTTACTACAATTTTATTGGGTTTTTTCAATAGGTCTAGAGAGATTACCTTTCAAGAACGATGGATATAACTTTTGGACATGGAGAGGTCACAAAATACATTATGTTGAAGAAGGAGAAGGTTTCCCCATTGTTCTCATCCATGGTTTTGGTGCTTCAGCTTTCCATTGGAGGTCCCTTTCTATCACTCTATTTTTTTACCAACATTTCCTTTTATTATCGTTTGCAACTGTTTCCTTTTCCTCTTTCTCTATGTATTTTGAAGGTCCCTTTCTCTTATACAAGAAAATCCTTGTTCTATAATTTATAAATTTTCATATCTCTATAGGTACAATATACCTGAATTAGCTAAAAAGTACAAAGTGTATGCTGTGGACTTACTTGGCTTTGGGTGGAGTGAAAAAGCACTTGTTGATTATGATGCATTAGTGTGGAGAGATCAAGTTGCTGATTTCTTGAAGGAGATAGTGAAAGAACCAACTATATTGGTTGGAAATAGGTAAATGATCTTGCCATTTTTTTATAGATATGTGATTTGGTTAACACAATTACATGAGTTCTCCTTTTAGTGGTTGTGTATACATATTATTATGAAAATTAAAAGATCATTGATTTATAAATTTGGAAACTTTTATTAGTCTTGGAGGATTTACAGCTTTGGTGGCAGCAGAAGCAATGAAAGAGCAAGTTGTTGGGATTGTGTTACTGAACTCTGCAGGACAATTTGGAAGCCCAAATGATGAAGAAAATGAGGCTCAAGAATCCCCCTTTCAGAAATTTCTCTTAAAGCCATTGAAGGAAATTTTTCAACGTGTGGTTCTTGGATTCTTGTTTTGGCAAGCTAAGCAACCAGCTCGTGTTGAATCTGTCTTGAAAAGTGTAAGTTAAATTTTACTACTTTAATAATTATTTAACTTTATTTTATAATGATTATAGTTAGAACTTAGATGAAAGAAATAGCAATGTGCTTTCATTGAATTCTTTATTATATAGCAATATTTGTACTTTGAAAAAAATGGTGAAAATCTATCGAGTTATAGCAAATACAAAGCAATTTTTAATGAGCTATAATTGGAGAAGTTTTTTAAAGTGTAATGTTCTTATAAGTAGGGACATGTTATAAAATACAATGTCTTTATAAGAAGTTAAGAACAAATTGAATTGCATTGTTGTTATAAAAAGAAATGAAAGTTAGATGCTATAATAAAAACTAAGGTTAGTATTATAAAGTACCCTATTTTTTGGGTTTTTTTTTTCTAAATTAAACCTCAACTTAATTTTTTTTTTTTTTTTTTCTAAAATAGACCTTGAATTTTTCCATTTTTTTTTACCCTTTTAACAGGTTTACAGGTAATCTTCCTTTTAGACACTTTTTTCCAGAAAAACTCTAAAAATTTTTTTTCTGAAAAAACCCTCAGATTTTTTTTTTTTTTTTTTTTTTTTTTTTTTTTTAACGAAAAAACACTCACATTAGACAATTTTTTTCGGGTTAATCTCAAAAAAGACCTTATATTTTGTGTTTTTTCCGGATTAAACCTAAAAGTTATTTTTTGTTTGAAAAAGACGTTGCATATTTTCATATTTTCCGAAAAAACCCTCAACTTTGTATTTTTTCCGAAAAAACCCCTCAACCTTCTAAATGCTTCCAAATAAACCGTCAACTTTTTTAATTTTTTCTCGAAAAAACCCTCACATTTTACATATTTTTTTGGAAAAAATGGCTAAAAGGGCCAAGATCGTAACAAAATGAAAAAAATACAAGGTCTTTTTCAAGCAAAAAATAAATTTGAGGTTTAATCCTGAAAAAACACAAAATATAAGGTCTTTTTTGAGACTAACCCATTTTTTTTCAGAAAAAAAAGTTGAGGGTTTTTTCTGGAAAAAATTGTCTAAAACCAGAAGATTACGTATAAACCTGCTAAAAGGGCCAAATTGAGATAAATTAAAAAAATGCGTGGTCTTATTTAAGAAAAAAATAAAATAAAGTTGAGGTTTAATCTTGAAAAAACCCAAAATATAGGGTCTTTTACAATATTAACCCTAAAAACTAAATAAAAGTATTTTGCTCCTTGAATCTGTCTCGAAGAGTGTTATTTTAAATTATTCTTTCAATGCTTAATTAACTTCACTTATAATAATTAGTGTTAAATTTAATTAAACAAATAGCAATGCATTTTCTTTCATTTGTTTATTATGCTATAATTAGGAAGATTTTTCAAAGTAGAATGTTGTATTAAAAGAAATGAAAACGGGATGCTATTATAAACAAATAAATGAAAGTACTTTCATTTTCTTGCATTTAATCCTAGTAATAATTAATTATTTTATGGAAAGGAAATATTTCGATTTTCATGAACAAATGAAAATTGGTAAAAAGAAAAGATAAATTTATTTATAGAACAGACAAAATAGATAAAAAAAAAAGCATGTCTGTATTGAATATAAGAATATTCCCCTTCCTTTTTTTTTTTTTTATAAAAATTGGATATAATAGTCATCTTATTTATTTATTTCTATAGTAATTCATTATTCAAGAATCATGATAGAGACATCTTTAATGAAAACATTAAATTCAAATTTTCAGGTATATAAAAATACTTCAAATGTTGATGATTATCTAATCCAATCAATCACTAGACCAGCAGATGATCCAAATGCTGGAGAAGTCTATTACAGGTTTTTTTTCTTTTTCTTTTTTCTAAAAAGAATTGATAAAAAAAAATTAAAATAGTTTAGTAACTAAATCCATAAAATGGTGAAAAATGAAAATACATACCAAGAACTATATATTTTTAAATAATTAAAAAGTTATAAAACCAACTAAATTGATAAAGTAGTGAAAGTACAACTGCTTTTCAAAGGTTTAGGTTTTTATGGAAAACAAAAAACCCTAAAAAAAACCTTAAAAATGCATAAAAAAATTCTTAGAGATCACAAAACTTTTTTTTTTTTTTTTTTTTTTGAAAAAATCGCACCTTTTAACACAAAATCGCTGAATTTTTTTTTTAATAAAAAAAAACTGATTTTTTATTTTTTTTTTCAGCGAAATTTTATAAAAAGCTGTGATTTTTTGATGTGTAAAGTCAAAAAAGATGTCTAGGTATTTTTTTTAGGGTTTTTTTGTTTTCCATAAATGATGAAAATACATTTTGTTTTTTATATATTAAAAAACCAAAGAACCGAAAAAAATAATATTTTTAAGCAGTCAAAAAAGTAATAATAATTTAATCGGTATCTAAAACAGTTAACCAGCTAAATCGATAAAATAGTGAAAGTACAACTGTTAGTTTTACAGTCCAATCTATCTAATTTACAGATTAATGACACGATTCATGTCAAATCAAAGAAAATACACACTCGACAGTGTGTTGAGCAAACTATCGTGCCCATTATTGTTAGTGTGGGGTGATTTAGATCCGTGGGTGGGGCCCGCAAAGGCTCTACGGATCAAAGAGTTTTACCCGAACACATCTATTGTAAACTTACAAGCCGGACATTGTCCACATGATGAAGTTCCCGAACTTGTCAATAAGGCCTTGGTTGATTGGCTAGCAACTCTACCATCCACATCCACATCCACATCAATCACCCCTCAAATTTTATAAATTTTTTTGTGAAATTTGTAATTATATACAACATGTATGTATAAGTTAATCACATATTTTCATGAAATATTTTATAAAATTTCGATACTTTGATTAGGGTATTTTTAGTTGGATTTATGGGAAGTTGTGGGATTCCAAAACTTGCATTAAGCGTAGACCGTTTGTTATGGATGAAACGTGACTTTTTACTGCGATTGCGACTGCGACTGTAAATGGGCAAAATTTTCAATTTTTTGTCCCGTTCAAAAAAGCTGGACAAAACATAAATGCGCTCGTCCTCATCGTCGAAAATAATCTTAGAGAGTAGTTTTTACAGAGTTTACAGTTAGATTTGTACTGTTTTTGACATGCATTGATTTGTAGTTTTAACAAAAATCTTTTTTATTTTTTTATTTGTATCATACGAAAAAGTGGGACAATCATGCAAAGAAGGTGGGACTAATATTCGTTGTAAATGTCCTTTCGTCAAAAATAGTTTTATGAAGTTTGTTAAGTTCAATCGATTAATATCCTATGTAACAAATATAACGTAAGCATGACATGACTAGTTTACAAGATTTATGCAAAATGTTTCTTGTATATGATGAAATAAGGAAGTATTTTTTAAGATTTATGTAAACGTTTCTAGAAGACTTGGAAACTTTATAGCTTACAAAGGAAGTCTTTAGATCTAGAAGGTTGATGTTGCAATTTGCAATTTGACTTTCTAGAAGCCTTGGAAACTTTATAGCTTAAAAAGTCATAGAGAAAATTTGGAATATTCGCGTTTACCAATTATGTTTGTGGTCCAATACTCCCGTTTGTTTTGTGCTACCGACTGGCGACTACTGCTATTATAAAAATAGTAATAATAAAAATAAAATTAAAAACAATAAATTTATTCTAGATATTTATGGTTAGTTCTCATTTTATATATATATATATATATATATATATATATATATATATATATATATATATTAAACTATACAAATGTTAGGAAAAAAATATTTTATATTAAAATAACTAATTCATTGGTATTAACAATTACATAATAATTTCATAACAAATATAAAAAATAATTTTTAATATTATCATTGTATTGAACTATATCATAAGATATAAGATTGGAATTTGAAGTTGTTGTACATATACAAAGTTATATGATTAAAATAGAAAAAAAATTATAAATTTTTAAAAAATAAATAAATCATTATTGTTATCTATTACATAATAATTTCATATTAATTAAAACGTTTATATTAAATATTATCATTATGTAGAACATATGATAATAGAGACATCTTTTTATATATCTTAAATATTATAATTATGTACAACATATGATAATAGAGACATCTTTTTATCTTAAATAGTAAATTAAAAAAAAATTGTATCATAAATATTACTATAATTATGTAGAACATATGATAATAGAAACGTATTTTATAAGGTTAGAACATAAATTTGTATTACATACAGGGTTGTAAAACTTGGCTAACACAACCAAATACTCAACATGTTACTTAAACTTGGCCTCCAATTGAAGCGAGTTTGCCTAACTCAACCAAAATACACTCGGATATTAATCAAATTTGATCAAAATCTAAAAAATCCTATCCGAATTCATTTTCGAAATTCTGAAACTTAATTGGTCACTTGTCAACAAAGACAATCTCACCAAAGAATACTCTCAACGTCCTAATATGGTAGAAGCAAGGAAGATCTCATGGCTTAGTCCATTTAAAATATTTCACAACATTTCCTATTTATAGAGGAGGAAACATTCTATTGTTACTGATCATCGATGTGAGATAGAAACATTTTAATTAAACTCATTTCTTTATTTGCCAATAATTTCATTTTGTTAAATAAAATATTAAATAATAAAAATAAAACGTTATCCCTAAAATTTATTGTTCAATAGTTCAATTTTTCAGTAATCTCGTAAGTTGCTAACCAAAAAAGTAAGTTTTTATTGAATAACTTTTTGTTAAATCCTAAAATCATAAATTTAGTTAGGTACTTAATATAGAAAATTTATCTATATGTATTTTCATGATTCAAAGGGTCATTATAAAATAAATTCATTTATAAAATATAATCGAGTATATATTTCATGCTTTTGAATCAAAGTGATTTTTTAATCAATTATAAATTTATATTTATGTAGATTTTTTTTTATATTTATATAACATTCTGTAACTTATTTATAATATTATTAAAAACAATTTGAATAATAATGGGAGTTTCAAATGTATGTGGTGAAAGAAAAATGTTTCCTTTATCGGTCCAAATTGATCAAACTTGAACCGATTCAACTCAATATACCAAACCACATAATGTTTTTCCTACTGAAACCCGGTTTGTATATAGTTCATTTTTTTGAATCAAATTCATTTTCAGATAATTATAGTTTTATGTTTAGTTAACTTATGTATCATATTATTAGAAACAATTTAAAAAATCATGGGAGTTTCAAATGTATGTGGTGAAAGGAAAATGCTTCATTTATCGGTCCAAACTGATCAAACTCAGACCGATTCAACTTAATATATCCAACTACATAACAAATTTTCAACTGAAACTCGGTTTGAATCTAAAAAAATCTTGTTCAAAACTATTTTTAGAATTCTAAACTTAAGAGGGCAGTTTCCAATAAAGACAATCTTATCAAAGAATACCCTCTACATCCTAAAAAGGTAAGCATAAGGAAGTTCTCATGGTTTGGTCCCTTTGAAACATTTCACAACGTTTCCTATTTATAGAAGAGGAAACGTTCTCTTGTTTACTCTCACCATCGATGTAGGATGAAAACATTATAATAAAACACACTTTCTTGTTTATAAAACATTATTTACTTATTTCATAAAACACCATTTCTTTTGTTTACCCTTTCTTCACTATTCAATAGTTCCATTTTTCTGTAATCTCATAAGTTGCTATCCAAAATTGTTAGTTTTTGTTGAATAACTTTTTGTTAAATTCTAAAATCATAAATTTAGTTAGGTACTTAATATAGAAAGTTTGTTTATATGTATTTTCATGATTCAAAAGTTCATTATAAAATGAATTCATTTATAAAATATAATCGAATATATATTTCGTGCTTTTGTATCAGAGCGATTTTTCAAACAGTTATAATTTCATGTTTAGGTAAATTTTTTATATTTATACAACATTATGTAACTTATTTATAATATCATTAATATACAAAACTACATAACATTTTTTAGTGAAACCCAGTTTGTATATATTTTGTGCTTTTAAATCAAAGTGATATTTCAAACAATTATAATTTTAGGTTTAGGTAGATGTTTTTTTTATATTTATATAACATTATATAACTTATTATAATATAATTAGAAATAATTTGGAAAATCATGAGAGTTTCAAATGTGTAGCACTTGGTTTCCGGTATGTGAATTTTATTTGAGCATTTCCCTATTTTAGCCTTGGACTCGGCGAGTCATAAGGTCCGACTCGCCGAGTAGGGACGAGACTCAGGACACGTTTAAGTTGGCGACTCGGCGAGTCCATATCCCGGACTCGGCGAGTCACCGCTGCTGGATGAAACCCTAAATTTCAAGGGTTTGCACCCTATTTAAACCCTCATTCCGCCCCAACCTCGTCCCCATTCACCCCCAGAACTCCCAACCTCACTTTTCCCTTATTTCCTTGAGAGATTGAAGTGTTTTTGGAGTGTTCTTGAAGATTTTGAGGAGAAAGAAGAGTAGATCAAGAAGAGGAGAAGGAGACCAGGCATCTTTGTGTCATCCCAACGTTTTCCTTGAGGTATAGCTCGTTTCCCCCTGTTTTCAAGCTTGTAATCTCTTTTAGCTTCATAGGAGTCCTTCTTGGGCTCTTCCCCAAGCTTGTTTGTGCTTTGTGGGTTGTAATAAGTTGTTAGCCTTTAGATCTAGGCATTATTTAGTCCCTGGAACTTGGATCTAATGCCTTTATGGGGTCATATTGCATGAAAGCCCTAGATCTACCTCTTTTGGTGCACTTTGAGCCTTAAAATACATATTGGTGAATATCTACACGTAAAGTTGGAAACTTTACGTGTGATTTGTGTCCTAGAAGCCCAGATCTGTGAATGGCATGGACTAGAATTGAGCAAATCGGCGTATTTGTTGGATGCATGGCTGTGACTCGGCGAGTCGTATATGTGACTCGACGAGTCTGGTCGCGAGTCACTGGACTGGTCCCTTCATGATGTGTCGAGTTGAGCCGTGAGTCACAGGGGGTGACTCGGTGAGTTGGGAGCTGAACTCACCCATGTTAGGACTCGGCGAGTCAATGCCCTGACTCGGCGAGTCCAAGGCAATCTTCATAGATCAAGAACAGACTCGGCGAGTTGTTCATACAACTCGGCGAGTCTTAGCATATGTGTTCTTCGGATGAAGATGAACTCGACGAGTTGTTCATACAACTCGGCGAGTAGGATGAAGGAGTTGAATGTCAGTTTAGAAGATGAACTCGTCGAGTCATAGCCCAACTCGACGAGTAGAATCAGGGACCCAGGACAATTGTCTGGATAGGGACTCGGCGAGTGGAGATCCACTCGGCGAGTCGGGTCAACTAAAAGTTGACTTCGAATTGACTTAGGGCTAGACCAGGGGAAAAATGGTCTTTTTACCCAAAGGACAGTTAACAGTCTATGATTAAGTATATTGTGGGAATTACAGCCGGGGAGTTTCCGGAGCAGCAGCAGCAGTAGTAGGTGATCAATTCCCACACAGACCAGCAGCTATTTCGAGGTGAGTTTCCTTCCAGTAGTAACGGGTCTAAGGCACCAAGGCCGGCCCGTATAGACGAGACGTTAGTATTAGAGTGTGGGCTGAGCCCGTATCTCTTAGTTGAGTTGATTATGATATATGTCAGTATGATAGAGTTGTCTATACCTGTTGTCTGTGTGATACTTGTATGATAAGAGTTGGCGGTTGAGTGTGGGCGAGGCCCGTATCTCTCCGAGAATGGAGTGTGGGCTAGGCCCGTATCTCCCAGATAGCGAAGTGTGGGCGGGGCCCGTATCTTCACGAGTGTGGGCGGGGCCCGTATCTCTCAGAAAGTGAGGTGTGGGCGGGGCCCGTATCTTCACGAGTGTGGGCGGGGCCCGTATCTCCTAATTGCATGTTATTTGTTAAATGCTTGTATGGTATGGGGTATTATGGGGGAGCTCACTAAGCTTTGTGCTTACGGTTTCAGTTTTGGTTTCAGGTACCTCCTCAGCTAGGGGAAAGGAGCCGGCGCGGTAGCAGCATGTCACACACACACCCTCTTCGGTTTCCGCATTTACGAGCTTTACTGGGATTGATACTCTGATATTCTGATTAGTTGTATGTTTTGGTTTTCAGACATGGTT